AAAAAAAAAAAAAAAAAAAAAAAAAAAAAAAAAAAAAAAAAAAAAAAAAAAAAAAAAAAAAAAAAAAAGAGAAAGAAAAAAAAAAAACAACGAATTACGATTACGAATTTGGTTACGAAAAAAATTACATATATATATATATAACGATAGTTTGTTTGTGTTTATGTTTTTTTTTTTAACAATCGATATTAAAATAATTATTCGTTTTTTGTCAAAAATTAAGTAGTTTTCTACTCAGCAATTATTACTTGTTTCTTCATTATCAAATCGGAAAATTTATTATCGTTTTTAGGTGGTAAGTCTTTTGAAACTAATATTTCCAAAACGTTTCTTAGATTCGTCATGAATCCTGTATCAGTATTTACCACTTGTATCAGTTCTATTACATGCAGAGATTCTTTTACTGCTATAAAATGTAATGTTACATATTCAGAGGACGAAGGATTTAAAGGACTAAAATAAAAAAAATATATAAATTTAATTATTTATTTACATCAATTACAATTCACGAGAATTATTATTTACGAGAATTATTATTACGAGAATTAACTTACCCTATTCGAACATTATTTTCCAGACAAACTATATCTGCATCAGGTGTTTCAACATCAAAGTATTTTTTTAGGAATTCTATTAATTATAAAACATTGAATTAGTCATACAGTAGCGGTAGATGTATAAGATGTATACATTCTACTTCATACCTGTTTCTTCCATAAAAGGTTCAATCTGGCTTGGCGGATTACCATGTATTATAATGTCAGTATGACCTATACTTGACGACTTTGATGATTTTGAAGATGATGATATTGATACAGGAGATAATATTCTGAATGCACTATTAGAATAATAAAATAAATAATAAAATAAATAATAAAATAAAAAAGATTAAGCAACTAACCAAATATATTATAGATATAAAAATATATAAACAAATATCATAAGATAACATACGATTCATTAGGTCTCTTTTTATTAGGAACCATTATCGCCAAATTTTGAACGTGGGATGACTTGTTTACAACATGAACTTGTATCGTAAACACCTGACCAACGACTATGTTTGTATTTACTAAAAGAAGAAACACGAATTAGAAAGAAATGAATAGAGGTAAATAATAAATGCAGTATAAATGAAATAAATATAAATGAAATAATTAACGAACCAAAAAAAGACATGACGACACTATTTTCAATATTTGAACCAGTAGGGTTCAGTAACATTGGAGTTCTTCCACCGGAAAGTATACCATTAAAACTATATAACGAATCATTATCTTGAATAATACTTATTTGTTTATTTATATAACCGGTCATCATTGCGGAATAGAAACACCTAGTAACGGTAGGAGTAGTAATGCCCGTTGGCAAATATAGAGAGCTTCTTGAAGATAAAGAAGAAGCAGAAGAAGGACTTCTAAATTTAGAAGTTAATGATAATGTTCGTTGATTTGATCGATTTAATTTATTAGGAGATATTGAGTCATCATGGTTTAATAAACTAGATAAATCTAGTAAGCAGTTCCATTCAGATTCTATACATGGCAATTTCTCACCCTCGAATATAGGAGAGCCTTTTATTATTACGGAAAGGGGACGTTGTTGATCTTCTTCAGAAGAGGGTGGTGGTTCGAATGAGGTATTTGAAAAAATGGAAGCAACGGAATTTCGACGTGAAGATACGCAAGAATTTGGACTTGGAGTAGGACAGTGCTGCGGTGGGTCTGCTTTGGGTAAAGGAGGCTTTTCGAGTATTGTGACGTAATAAAGAAATGTGGCCTGATCAACCGGATGTAATGTCATTGGGAATTCATCCTATGATAAAATAAAAATTCGTATTAATATTGATAATTAATATTTATAAATAAATCATTTGAAAAATAATAATATAATATATAATAATAATAATAATAATAATATATGATAATATATCATAATATATCATAATATATAATAATATATCATAATATATCATAATATATACTAATATATCATAATATATAATAATATATCATAATATATAATACTAATAACTAATAATATATAATAATATATAATACTAATAACTAATAATATATAATACTAATAACTAATAATATTATTATAAATATTATATTATGAATATTATATTATTATTACTATTGCTATTATGATTATATTATATTATCATTATCATTATCATCTTAATGAACACATACCACAGCCTCATTTTTATGCATCCATTCGTACTTCGTTACGAAGCCATGAGGAATATTCATTTTTATCGAGTCCACAATAAACGAACCAGTATTTTCAACATTATTATTTGCCAATACGACGGAAACCAATATGGTATTTTCCGATGAAGATACATTAGTGGTTCTTAATTGTACATTTAACGCGGTTTTAACATTCAACATTTTTCGGCAATTACGTTTTACGGGTTGCACAGCCGGATATATACTTCGTTTTGGTTCATTACATATTCCTGGTAGATTGGCATATTGTATTCTACATAATGCAGGATCATCTTCAAATGCAGGATCTTGAATAATTAACGAAAAAATTAATTTAATAAGATTAATAAGATTAATTAATAAGATTAATAAGATTAATTAATAAGATTAATAAGATTAATTAATAAGATTAATAATAATAATAATAATCATCATAATAATAATAATAATAATAATAATAATAATAATAATAATAATAATAATCATCATAATGATAATAATAATAATAATAATCATCATAATGATAATAATAATAATAATAATCATCATAATAATAATAATCATCATAATAATGATGATAATAATAATAATACTAATAATAATAATAATTAATCATAATAAAAATAATAATAAGTTTATATAACTAACCATCATTTAGGCCAGCTAATAAATTCATCTTGCCGAAATGATGCGCAGCATACAATTCAGATCGAGGAGATATTATTACTTGTTTTGAAACTTCGTCGATCAAAGGTAACAATGATGGTGTTACACTTAATGATAAAGCCGGACTGTGAGCGCGTGTTTGAGCAAAGACTGAATATAATTAGATTAGACACAATTAGGAATTAGGAATATAATTAGGAATATATTAGGAATATAATTGGAATGTAATTATGACATAATTAGATCATAAAAAAAGCGCGAATACGTATGAATACGTATTGTACTAACCTATAGGAGCAGTTAATGGAACAACACAAATCCAACAACCTTTACGCTTCGTAACCACCATACCTCGATCATCCAGACTCATATTATAAGTGTTTGAATAAATGATAGTTCCTTCAGATGGTTTATTTAAACTTTTGTAGACAGAAGAACAAATAGGAGTTCCAGGTATTGAAGGAGAAGTAGTCGCAGAACTTGAACGCGATTTTCCCGGAGGATGACGATATATAGATTGAGTAGAAGAAGAAGGTACAGATAAATTGCTCGCATCAACCATAGAAGCCTCAACATTTATCTCTAATTGTTGGAAAAACGCTTTTGCTGAAAATAGATCAGATATGCCGGAATCATGGGAAAGATAGATCGATAGATAAAAACGGAGAAGTTCATCTTTTTTTTTTAAAAAAAAAGTTTTTTGATTTTTTGAAACTTTTTAAAATATTGATAAAAGTAATTTACAGTAATGAAAAGAATGAATGAGAGGATTCTTACCGTAAAACGCTATAGCCCTAGACTTTTTATTTAATAAAGTATCGATATTTTCTTCAGTAAAATTTTGAATTCCATTTGGAATAATGATTTCCAAGGTTGCCAAGCTTAGTAGTGCCTCTCGAGATTTCATGATCGAATTTTAAATAAAAAAAGATCCGTAGAAAAAAATAAAGGTTTAACGTGAAGAAATAAAAAAAGAAAGGGGAAAAAAAAAATATAAAATATAAGCTTATTAAAGCAATATATAATATTGGTATTTTTCCGATTGTTTATGATGTTTATGGTTGTTTATGGTTGTTAATTGTTGCTAATGGTTGTTGAGTGGGAATTTATTTGTTCTCCACATGACACGTAATATGTATACAATATAAAAAATAAAGCTTTTTTTTTTTTAAAATAAAGTTGTGGAAAAGTTCTAATTTAAGCCGAAAAAATCGACAAATTTATACGAGTTTTAACTAATATAAACTGTACGCCAAAAAGGCACCTCATTATGAAATAATAAATGATCATGTGTAGAGGTTATAAGCCATCTTGAACCAGTTCTAACTTTCAAAGCCGCCCTTACGGAGGTGCTTTTAAATTCCACACGATGCTCCAAAGAACCAACCGTATAAAGTTATTTATCATTTTTGTTATGAAGTTATCTGTCAATTACTTTGAATGTCTATCATAAGCAGTTGAACGTCGATGTACGGCATAAAGTACTATGTTGTGATACCTGCAAACCAAAAAAAAAAAATACATAACGATGCATAAGTGGATACGATGTGTCAGTGGATAAATAAGTGGATAAATTACTTTCTATAAAGTACGCCTTTTAATCGCGCCGTAATGGTAACATGCCATTTATGCTTGTTTGGTTGTTTATTTAATTTTTTTTTTTCGCTTATTTCTGTATTTACTGTTTGTACAAATAAAATGTTAAGAGAATGTTAAACATATTCGTAATAGTACATAATAAAAAAAAAAACTCAGATCTAACGTATTTTGTCAACCATAACAATTAGGTAACTATGTATTATAAATTCATTGACTGTTAAGTGTAATCATCAAAGGTTTATCTTCTTCGAGCGTACATGCGTTTGCACACGAACACACGTGCACCACCTTAAAAATACTAATTAATCAAAAAGACTTAAGCTTTTGATGATCTATAACCTATACGGGGACTTTTGTTTTATGTAAAACCAACCACCTATTTTTTTTATTTTTTTTTTAATTTCGTGTTTTTTTCAGTTTTTTTTTTAAACCTAAATTATACATTAATAGAAATGAATAGGAAAAAAGAAAATTTCCAAAAACCCATTTAGTAAATGATCGGTTGATTATACGCATTAAGCATTGTTATGCAGATCTTGTAAACAAAAACAATTAGTTACATTGTTGGGAATATTTTGATGTATCAGATGTATCAGAATATTAGATCTTCTATTAACGTTAATAATTTGGATCGATTGGATCCACACCTGATTTGCCACATACTTTTAACTGCGAGGTACGAACCAATAATAATTGAAATTTTTTGTTTATTAACTGACTATTTTTTTTACCTTCTCTAGTATTAGTGGTTATGGTTATTAAGTGCCTGAATCTTTGGATTGCAATAGGAAATTTACAAATTAAATATGCAAACCCTGAATACCCTGAATTAATCTAAAGAATAATGCTTGGAACTTTTAAATTCTGAATCGCATCTAATATTTTAATATATGTACATATATTTTAATGTTACTGCATCTGTTAAATCTTTTAACCGAATATTTCAGAATACTACAGTATTATAATACAAATAATCATCCACCGATTTGATTTGATTTTGATTTGATTTTTAGGGGGTCTTTTTTCGATAAACTGTTACACGAACTTTTTGCCATTAAGTGATGTGAAGAATAACAAACGAAACATTCATTAAAAATGTTTTTTTTTTATATGAGACAAATAAGCAATAAAATACTAAAAAAACAGCCATTCTAAGCCATAAAGAAAGCACTATCACTAGTTGTTGAAGCGTTCGGGTATTTTCGGGTAGAGAACGATCGGTTTGTCATTGTTTGATCTGTTGTATAATGAAAACGGCCTTTTTAATTAAATATGTAGGTATTGCAATATTAATTATGGATTCCAAGTAAGTTTAAAAACTGTTTTTGTAAAAACTTACTCCGATAATAAATTTTAACGACAAATAATTCTCAATCATGATTGGCTAATTTTGGGGTCAAACCAAATCGGTTGATATGTAATACTAAGGCACACCAAGAGCACACTAAAAGCACACTACGATTAGCTTTTGTGATTAGATATTATTCATTTAGCTAGTTTTTTGAGTATAATTGAATACCACTGGTGTGCTTTAGTAAACTGTATAAAATCTATCAAGATACATTAAACTTTTTAATTTTATTATAAAATCTATTATCGTCATTAGTTATTGTTATTAGTTAATTAAATACTATTAAATACTATTAAACACTATTAAATATTATTAAACATTATTAAACACTATTAAACACTGTTAAATTAAATCTTATAAATGAATACCAATGATTAATCAGTTAATCTAATACAAATTTACAAATTTACTTAATTATGTAAACTAAGTTTATTATTATTATTAGATTTATTTGACGCGAAAAATGCGTGTTCGTGTGTGTAGTACGAATTCATATACGAATTCATATTGGAGAGTATCATTATAAGCATAATATCTTAATACATTTCTGTAATGTTCTGTAATGCATTTTTGGAGTATTATAAAGTAATATTCATAATGTATTTGATGAAGTATATTCACGTACAGTACTATATAAAACAAAATGTTATTATGTACGTACTATATAAAACAAAATGTTATTATGTACGTACTATATAAAACA